TTTGTAGAATCTATACTGATGTCTTCCTTTTCTCATTTCTAAGAGAAATAGTAATTTTTATTCTTCTCTCTCCCTTTCTCTCTCACAAACACACACACATACACACACACACATGAAATGTCTATTTAAGAGTCTATCAATTTTATTAAGCTTTGCAAAGAACAAGCTTTCAGCACTACTGATTTTTTAAATTGCCTATACATTTTGTACTTCATTGATTTCTTACCCTTCTCCTTGAGGTATAATTCATTTTTCTTGTAGCATTGATTTTTCAGCCTTGATTCTTTTTCAATATATGCGTTTAAAGGCATAAGTTGTTCTGTGTCCCAAAAATTTTGATACATTGAACTTTCAGTGTTGTTCTACTCAAATACCTTCTAATTTCAGTGTGATTTCTTCTGTGAGCCTCAGAACTGGGTTGCTCATTTTAAACTGTATCTGTTTTTGTTTTTGTTTTGAGAGGGGGGGGTCCAGTTGTGGGGCCTGAACTCTGGGCCTGGGCGCTGTCCCTCAGCTCTTCAGCTCAAGGCTAGCGCTCTACCACTTGAGCCACAGCGCTACTTCAGGCTTTTTTCTTTTTGCATATGTGGTGCTGAGGAATCGAACCCAGGGCCTCAGCCATGCAAGGCAAGTGCTCTACCACTGAGCCACCTTCCCGGCCCCTGTATCTGTTTTTGTTGTTCTCTACTTTGATTCTGTTCGTAAACAAACATGCTGGTATAGTATATCAGTCTGTTGAAGGTTTGTTGACAGAAAAGAGTCCACAGTTTTGGATATAGTATTCTAGATAACTCATTTATACTAACTTGGTTAATCTTGTTGGTCAAATCTTGCATATCTTCATCTATTTTTTACTTCTGTTTTTGCTTTAAATATGCTGAAACAATGTTAACAGATACATTTAGGATCATTAAATTTGTTATACTTTTATCCTTATGAGATGCTCCTTTTTTCCTTTGTAATAATAATTCATCTGCTATTAATAATTGTGCATTGTTTCATTTGTTCAACCTACCTAATATCCTATATTTAAAGTGTGTCTCTTTAAAATGAATTTCATTTTTAGCTGACCTAGACTGTCTCTGTTCTGTCCTGAGAGCTTTGAATATTGTGAGAGATTTCATGTCTGTCCTTTGGAATTTGGTTTAATTCTTCATTCTTGTATACTACTTAGCTCTAAATTTTGATAAGTTTCTTTAGGAATAGATTATATATATATATATATATATATATATATATATATATATAATACTTATTTCAGGCTCCTTTACCTACTGCGGCTTTTACCTAGTGGGTCTTTACTCTTCAGTATTGCCAGAGATCAGGAGATTTCACACAGCCATCCCAGCTCGCTGCACCATCCTGACCTCCCAGACTTGACCCACTCATCCTGTGGAAGAAACAGGAACTACAGTTTGAAACTCCTTCAGGATCCAACCCATGTGATTACCAAGAAATCCACTAGTGTCTTTTTTCTCTGATAAGAGTTTCAAATAGGCAGAGGCTCTGTGCCTTTCCTCTGTGGAGTTTTAATTCAGTATTTTATTGTTTCTTCCAGAGATTTTTAAAGTCTGGTTCTAGAGTATATCTCGCAGCTTCCTAGTTTATAGAAGGATTTTCAAGTTGACTACCATGTCTTACTCAGAAAGACAAGGCTACATAGCTTTCCAACATTGAGGATATGCTTTCATTTCATATTATGTGGTATATGATATTATTGGAAATTTAGAATAATTTCTCATCTTATAACAAATACTTTGTAGTATTTGGCTAAAAATACAAAGTTTTGATTACATCTTTAATCCTTCACTTGGTATATATTTGCAAATGTGTAATTGTTGTGTCAGCAGGTATTCATAGATGTTTATTCTTAACTTTAAGTTTTTATATTGGCAAATACTTTCAGGAAACATTTTACTTTGTACTAAGATTATCCACTCTTTGTAGTGGTATATGTATGATAGGTGATGGTATTTTATTTTTTTGAGACACATATACATTCTTATAATTTCAGAAGAAATCTAGAAAATGTTAAAACATTCTAATTTAATTTTACCTTAAAATATGAAAATTTTAAATATGTAATAATATTTGATTGTGTAAATTTGATTGTGTAATTTAATGAGTAATTATTATGATGGTTAATTGATATTTCATAATATTTAATCGTTATAATTAAAGGTTTGATCAATAGTATTTAATTATGTAAATATTACATATGTAATACTGTTTATATTTAAATATTAAATAATGCTTAAATATGCATTGATATGGTAGCAGGAAAGCAAATTTTAATTCAAATATTCATCTTGGTTGATGTAGACACCTAGGAAATACTAAGTGCCAGCTTTTTGGTTGCCATATGCAAATCATCTTCCTTTCTGTAACCTTAAGATAGATCATTTAACCTTCTTTGGTTTCAGGGGAAAGAAAAACTTGCTGAAAAATGTTGCATAACTTGATTTGAATTGGAGAAAGGGAAGCTTATCATTTCTTTCTTCTCCTATTCTCTCTGGGTTTTTTTTTGGGGGGGGGTCCGGTCGTGGGTCCTGAACTCTGGGCCTGGGTGCTGTCCCTCAGCTCTTCAGCTCAAGGCTGGCACTCTACCACTTGAGCCACAGCGCCACTTCCAGCTTTTTTTCCTTTTGCTTATGTGGTGCTGAGGAATTGAACCCAGGGCCTCATGCATGCAAGGCAAGCACTCTACCACTGAGCCACCTTCCCAGCCTTCTCTCTGTTTTTTAATTGGAGTTTTCTACTTGCTATTGTACAAAGATCAACACCACCAAGATATAAATGAATGGAAGCCTGGATAAGAGTTTTGAATGTCTGAAGTTTGGGGACATACATTTTCCATTTTAGAATGGAAATATCTGTGATTCTAAAGGCATAAAAATACTTTTCAGTCACCTACAATGATGCAATTAGATGTAGGGGGTTTTATATTCTACTTAAGATTAATGCTTGTTTAACTTGTGTATCTATTCAGAGACATTTGTCCTACATAGAAGAAATAACACTCTTCAAAGTGTATAGCAGTCTTAGTATTCAGATAAATAGACTTTTTGTTTGATGTTTAACTTGTTATAAATTATGGGAAATTCCTGGATCAGGTGCTGATGGCTCACAATTGTAATCCTTGCTACACAAGAGGCTGAGATCTGAGAATTACAGTTTAAAGCCAGCCTGAACAGGGTAGTCCATAAGACTCTTATCTTCAGTTAATCAGCAAAAGACTGGAAGTGGAGCTATGGCCCCAAAAAGATCGAGAATAGTGCCCAGGCCCTCAGTTCACGCCCCAGGACTGGCACACAAAAAATACTATGGGAAATTTAAAGTATATATAGAAGGCAACAATAAAAATTCAGTATTGTGCTTATCCTTGTTTCTTGCTATTTTCACAGTCCAGTGTTTCACTGACTGTTATAGGAAGAGACTTGGGCTGGGAAGTTGGCTCAGTGGTAGAGCGCTTGCCTTGCATGCCTGAGGCCCTGGGTTCAATTCCACAGCACCACATAAGCAAAAAGAAAAAAAAGCCGGAAGTGGCGCTGTGGCTCAAGTGGTAGAGCGCTAGCCTTGAGCTGAAGAGCTGAGGGACAGTGCCCAGGCCCAGAGTTCAGGCCCCACAACTGGATAAAAAAAATAAATATATAGGAAGAGACTTTATCTTAGAATTCTAATGTATTTTGCCTATTTCTTCAAATGACCATTTATTAGAAATCAGGTCTGTTTATTCTCCATTTTGATTTTGTTTTCGATTAAGGTTTCATTTTCTTGTGCTTGTCTCAAACTGAATCTAGTAGTCACTGGGGTGCTTATTTTCATTTGATCCCCATGCACTCATATGAAATAATATTGAATGTCATTGCCTGGTTAATGATAGGTATGTGGAAGTCATAAATGGATGTTAGAAAGTGTTACCTTGAAAATGCAGTTGCTATTCAAACACCAATCCTTTGAAATGTTTCAATGTTTTCAAAGGCCAATACTGAGCCTCATGCATATTCAGAAAAGAGTTCTTTTATTATTTGAGCCAAAATTAGTATGCAGAGGCACAATCTCCAATTTTCTTAATTTCTTCCTGTAATTGACATTTGTGTTGTAGTTTCTGGTCTCTCTTAGGGAGCTGATCCCTTCTGTAGTAACCCAGATGGTCCTCCTCAAATACACGCTTTGTATATTTCCAGGCATTTAAAAATCCATTTAACAAATACATGCAGGGCTTTCTCTTTCTTTCTTTCTTCTTTCTTCCTTTCTTCCTTCCTTCCTTCCTTCCTTCTTCCTTCCTTCCTTCCTTCCTTCCTTTCTTTCGTCAGTTATGGGTTTGAACTTTGGGCCTGAGAGCTCTTCAGCTCAAGGCTAGCGCTCTACCACTTGAGCTACAGCACCACTTCCAGTTTTCTGAGTGTTTATTGGAGATAAGAGTTTCACAGACTTTCTTGCCCAGGCTGGCTTTGAACTGTGATCCTCAGATCTCAGCCTCCTCAGTAGCTAGGATTACAGGTGTGAGCCACCAGTGCCTGGCTAAGGGCTTTCTTTTTAAATGTCTACTGCACACACACACACACACACACACACACACACACCACATTCCAGACACACACACACACACACACACACACACACACACCACATTCCAGAGCATTGAAGAGGTTTATATTTTTGTTTTGCTTCGTTTCCTTGAGTCAAGATCTGACCACATAGCCCATTCTGGCCTCACTACTGAGAGGTGGAATGATAGGCATGCACCACCATGTCTGGCTGAGGGGCCATTCTTTTTAAAATCTGGAGTCACTAGGGTGAAGGTGAGTTAAGTAGGAAATTGATTGAGCTGGGGTCAAGGATGTGCAGTTACTTAAGCATTAAATCCAAATAGCACACTAGATTCTGGGGTGAAGGCCAAGAGAATATTTTTTGCTTTGGCACTGGAGTTATGCAAACAGGGTTTCATGACTGAGAAAGTAAACTTGTACATTGGTGGTTTGTTTTTTTTTTTGTAGGTTCAAAAAGGCATTTGAATCTGAGCCAACACTACAGTCCGGAATTAACTATGCTGTACTCCTCCTGGCAGCCGGGCACCAGTTTGAATCTTCTTTTGAGCTTCGGAAAGTTGGTAATTGTAGCTTGAGATTTTACGTGGAAATCAAGAAGTTAGACTCAAAGTTGGTACCATGAAAAAGAACCATTCATTAATAGACTCTCTTGCTTTCTATCTCACCTGACTTCTGGAAAAATAGGTGTATTCTCCTTGCTTGGTATTTTATACTATTGTGAAGAATTCTGATATTGGGATACAGTTCAGTTTTCATTTGTTTTTACCTGTTTCTAAAAGTCCTTGGTTAGTATTTATTATTCCAGGTCAAATAGTATCTACCCTGTGGGCTTTATTACATTCAGCCTCCAACTTCCAAATCAGGTTAGGATTTTGTGGAACATTGGGAATGCTCTCTATTTAAGCTGGTGTTTTCCTGGTGCTTTAAAATGGAAACAAACACACAAGTCTTTCTTACTTCCTTTTTCTGTGTCTCAAGCACACGTGTTCCAGAACAGCAGGTCAGGTAGAGGACAGTCTGCAAAAGCCATCTCTGAAGTGTACCCATTGATAGAATACAGCTTGGTCTTTTTGTCGGTCGTGGGGCTTGAACTCTGGGCCTGGGCGTTGTCCCTCAGCTCTTCAACTCAAGGCGAGCGCTCTACGAGCTACAGCGCCACTTCCAGCTTGGTCTTTTTGATCTCTTGACATTGTCTCATCTGCTGACCCTTCTTTGGAATATAAAAAATTAGACCATTTTTGAGGCATATTTAGTGTGATTTCCTGGTTTTGACTTTAATGACTTCTTTTTACGTGGTGGTCCTAGAGGTTTCCTATCGGGTAATGCCCTTTTGCCATGGGTGTGTGTTATACTATAATCTCCCTGTATCCACCTCCCAAAGTAGCTAGGATTGCATACAAACATCCACAACTGTGCTAGCTTTTTGCCTATCTGGCCTCACAGTAGCTGCTATTATATGGATGTGCTACCATGCCTGGCTACTGATAACCACCATCACCACAACCACCACCGCTAAGATCCTAGAAAACATATTTTTTTCTCTTGAGTGTCCCTTTCAGAGAACCATTCTAAGTCAATCTTACTACAGATGCATAGTGTTTGGCCTTACTTCTCAGAAGGTCAAAACCATCTTAATGAAACTATTTATTGTAAAAAGAAGTGTTTCCTTTAGTATTTTGAACTGGAGACCATTTTCTTTGATTTTCCCTAAAGAAAAATGAACCCTGGGCCTCTTTTGTTATTGTTGGTTGGTTGGTTTTTTGAATATTTTTTGAGAAGGACTTAAAAAACATCCAAATGTAGTATTTTGGGAAAGTTTTGAGAGTAAATAAAGTCAGAGTATAGTATTAACTATTCTAAAAGTCCCAGGCCAAACAAATGGTAAGGTATAGTGGTAACTATGGCTGGATTGCAGTACTAGTGAAGGTAGAAAGCAGAAAGCTTGATTTGTAATAATTTTTTTATTGTGGGGCTTGCACTCAGGGTACTGTCTCTGAGCTTTCCACTCTTGGCTAGCACTCTACCACTTTGAACCACAGTACCATTTTAGTTTTCTGGTGGTTAACTGGAGATAAGAATCATGGTCTTTCCTGCCAAGGCTAGCTATGAACCTTGATCTGCAGATGTCAGCCTCCTGAGTAGCTAGGATTATAGGCATGAGCCACCAGTGCCCAGCAGCAATAATTTTTCATTTGGCAAACTGAATCAAAAAAATTTTCTGTAATTTGTGCTTTTTAGAAATCATACTACCATGTTGTATCTTAGATTCATGTAAAAACTCTCCAGTAGTATTTATATAGTAATACTCCTTCTCTGACAAGATCTAAACATCCTTTTTGCTACTCTGTTCTTGAGCTCTAAATCCTCAACAAGACTCAATATAGTTTTACACATGTAGGTAGAAATAACAGCAGTGGGTTGAAAATGCACTTTTCTAAGTCTCACTTTCTTAGCACTTGAAGGTTTGAAGAAATCAACTATAATCTGAGGAAGTAAACATACTTGAATTTTCCCAAGAAAACTTCATCTAACATGTTAAATAAGCATTTGTCACATACAAAATTGAATTTAAAATATGACTTGATAAATTTTAACTACTGAAATAATTAAGTTTGTCTTCTAAAACACTGTTATACACACTAAATTGTGTACCCTTTAAGTATGAGAAAAAATAGCTCCCTAGTTTACAATCTGTTTAATCGCAAATGATAGTAATCATAATAGGTTGACCTAAAGTTAATTTTTTTTAATGATACTGAGGACTGAACATAGGCCCTCACACTTGCTATACAAGCATGTCTGCACTTGAACCACTTTCTTGGTCCTTTTATTTATTTATTATTATTATTACTTTTTGATGTGGTCTTATGCTTTTGCCCAGGCTGGTCTTGGACTTCAGTCTTTCTACTTCTGCCTCCCAGAAGCTTGGATTCACTACCATGCCCAGCTAAAGTTAATTTTTATATGGTAAGATAGTATTCAATTGATTTTCAGGAAAAGACAGGTTGGCTAAGGAAATTACTAGGCTAATACAATGGCATTCATAGTTTATACAAAAATGAAACTATTAACATATTTGACTTATTATAAACATATACAATTACATTCATTCTTTAAGTGCTATAACCAAGTTTTCCACAATTTTATGTCTCCTCCTATGCCCCTTGTTGGCCTCTTAGTTTGAATTACTAAGTAATTACATTATTTAGACTTTTTTGGCACAGAACCTTACTATCTAGCTAGACTGGTCTGTAACTCATTATGAAACCATGATGGGCCTATGCTACCATGTCTGACTAATCAGGCATTTTTTATGAAATCCCATCTTTAGCTGTTTTTTGAAGTTTTGATTTATTTATGTCAGGAAAACAATTAAAACTAAAATGTCATGAGATGGACAATAAGCTTGAGGTTTTCTAAACATATTCTCTTAAGTTTAAATCTCTAGTATAAGAAAAACCCTATTATTTCCTGTCATGATCTGTTGCCAAAGATTCTATTTCTTCATCTTATGTTGCTGTAACACATGTTTATTTAGCTAATGGTTTTGGAGACTGAACAGTTTTGGTGGTCTCATGGGCTTGGCTTCTAGTAAGGGCCCCTGTAGCTACATCACACTACAATCTGTGTCATCCTGGAGAAAGTACCTGCATGAAAGAGAGACCACCAGTGAAGCAGAAAGCCAGATAGTGATTCATGGGTCAGTTTGCTTTTATTTAAAAAAAAAATCATTCTCAGGGGAGCCCAGCAAGATCCTAAGAGAGCCATGCTGATCTCTTCTGATAGTGAGGATAGCATATCCAATGACCTACCTGCCTCCCACTGAACTCTATCTCTTAAAGGTTCAAATATTTTCCCATTGGAGGCCAAGCTTCTAATACATGGGCCTTTGAGAGATACAGTGAAGCAAATCTAAAACCATCACTAATTCTTAATGTTAGTTGTGTGCATTACTAAATTGCTTCCCAAGTTGTGAAGAATCATTGGTGTTTAGACTTTGTAGAAGTAGGATTTAAAATTCAGATTGACACTTTACATTGCTTTTTTTTATTTTCACAAGTCTTATTAATATTCAGATGTCAGCTAAATGAAAAAGATTTTCTATCGACTCTGCATTTTTTTTTTTAGCCACAGGACATGTTATGAGAGAGTCAAAATTATAGGTTTGGGTCTCCAGTAGCAATGATGATTTAGGGCAAGAACTGTGTGTTTGAAATTGATACAAATCACCATTTGAATCTCATTTTCAGTGGTACTAAGAATTACTAAATATAAAATTTATATTGCTGAGTATAAAAACTTATGAGTTTATAATCAAGAAAAATTTAGTACAGTCAGGCTGTAGTGACTAACACCTATAATCCTAGCTACTTAAGAGATTGTTTCAAAGTTAGCCTGGGAGAAAAGTCTGAGACTAGCAAAAAGCTAGGCAGGAGATGTGGTTCAAATGATAGTGTACCACCCAAGCAAAGTAAGTTTAGGTAAGAGTGAGGCTCTGCGTTTAAATCCCAGTCCTGAAAAAAAATCAATACAGAACCAAAATTCATCACTAACCACAGAGAAATCTTGTCAGATGGTTGATCTATAGAGATGGTTGATTTCTCAGAAAATTGGTAAATTAGTACATCTCTTTCGTGTTTAGAAGATTCTATAGCTTGTCCATTGATGAAGTATAGCTCTTCTGTTATGCTACATATTAAACGCTACATAAAAATTAATAAAGACAACATTCTTCTAAAGAATGCCGATCACTAAAATAAAATGAATGATAAAGCTGATAATGATAGTGATTTTACAGTAATTGTCTGTCTGGCAATTGGTGTCACCAGTTAGAACTAATACCATTTAGTGAAAAACTAAAAAAAAAAAAAGAAGTAAATCTTACCATACTTACGTTTATCAACTGGTAGACTTCTCAGTAGTCACATAGGAACAAAAGTATCTGTGTAATGGGAGGATTTAGCCAACTAACATTAGGCCAGACTAACATTATTATTTTAAGGAATTATTATTATTGCTAGGATTACTAGTTTGATGATGTTTTAGGCATCCTTTGTGAAATATTCTCGCCAAAAATGTTGAACTAGCATGTTAAAATTTAATATTCACTCAGTATGAATCAGAATATGAAAAATAAGTTATGCAACACCATGAAGTGCTATCAAACATCCAAATTATGAATAAAAGACATCACTCCTAGTCTTTTCAAAAGGAATCTGCATCGTAGAAACAAAACCATGGATAGATAAGTTAGATTGAAAGAGATTTAGAGAAATAGAAACCAAATGTAATGAAATGACTCATGGTTTGGAAAAAATATCTATAGAGACATTTGGGGAGCAATTAGGGAATTTGAGTTAGGGTTAGATACTAGGCAATATTAGGATATTATTTTCTTTAGGTGTGATACAAGATATAAAGGAGATTTTTAAGGATTCTTGTAATATTTAATAGTGAAACATCATAATGCCTGTAATTTGATTTACTGGTTGACCAGTAACATTCAGGGAGATAAAGCAATCATATAATATCAACAATTCTTGGAAAGATAGATAGACAGACTGACAGTCAGACAGTGCTGAAGGTAAAACCCAGTACCTTCTTCATTCCAGG